AAGAAAAGGTAAGAGGAGAACATGTGCTTCCTCTTCTGTGTGACTCTTCATGCCCTGCATCTATTGCTGCAAGCTTGCAGGGGCAGGGTGAAAGCTGGGAGATGGGAGAAAGGCAGAGGAAGATCTGGACATGGACCCCAGTCTTTCATCCTGTCCCTTTGCTCCTGCTTCCTAGCCCACGTAGCAATCACTGCACCGTGGTGTTTGGTACATGCCCTTCCGTGCCCAAGGTCTATCTCAGCCTGGACCTATTGATTCCACCCAGAACATCTGAAAGTCCCTGATTAAAGAGCTATGACAGCTATCCCTCCTTCTCAACTTGCACATCTTTAAGATGATCTTTAAGAAAGGATGCTCTCAAGCAGCTCTTTAAAAAGCAGCTATTTGCTTCGTAATTGGGCTATCAAAAGCGTTGTTGCCCAGACCATTCATCCTTTGTACTTGTGCTTCAATCAGACTTTTGATAGGCAATTTATCTAAAATAATCTGAAATATCCTTGACTGCTGTTTCAGGTGAAAACAGTGTGCCCTACATTGAGTGAAATTTTGTATTCCATGTCTGAAATATCTGACAGGTATTGTGCCCTGCCAAGAATGATGATAAGGCTGAGAGCCTGGAGGCTTCACCATAGACAGTGGATTTGTCATTTCTTTTGCTTGTTTTTACTTTTGAGGCTTTTTTGGAAACATGCTCAAAACGTAGGATACTCTGAGGTTACATTCTACCCAAGGCCTCCAAAAGGGGCCCTGTCACTGAAACATTAAAATTACATAGGTTCAGAAAAGAAAGAAAGAGAAAAAAAATCAAATGAGTATTACAGAACTGCTTCATAGCGTGCTGCCTACTAAGGTCCAACCTCCCTTAAGCAGTGGCCAGCTCTAAAGATGAAAAGCAGACTCGTGTGACAGATACCACAATGAACTCGGGTAAATCAGTTTTGTCTCTCTGCTGTCTCTTGAATATAGTTAACATTGAATGACAGGAAATAGTCCCATATCGGTGAATGGAAAAAGAAGACAAGAGTATTGATTATTGCAGAAATTGATGATTTGAAAGTGGCAGTAACATTATAAGTATGATTTTAGTATGATGTGAGTTGCAAACACTCGATACAGAGGAGACAGTATATGGATTTCCTTCATTCTGCACTACATGTGTCACTAAGATCAATGGAAGTCACATACATATACTAAGGAAACCATAATATGTAAAATTATTTATGGAATAGCTGTTTCACATACACACTAATTGCAGCATCATAATGGCCAGAGTTACACTCAGAAGACAAAACCATATATTATATATTGTAGGTGACAAAGCTTGAATTCCCATCATCGTTTCACCACATTTTTCATAATCTAAAGGGATAACTAATGGAAGGATTTTTGCACAGCTTTTTTTATTTTTCCTGTAATAAGTGATAAACATCATACAGTTTATCACTGCAAGACCCTGATTCCACTTACAAGCTAAGTCATTAAATAACAGCTACTGGCAGTATTTTCCAAAACAGCACTGCACAATGTACATCGAAGCAAACAAACTGAAACATCTGAAATTGCCTCTGGTTTGCTCAAAATTCTAGGGACATCAGAGAAGCTGAAAAGCCGCAGCATGCAGAAGTCCAGCATCTCCAGCCTTTTGCTGGCAAGAAAGCACGAACCCATGAGCACACGCTTCCCTTTTACAACAGCCACCAAAGCTGTGTCAGCACTGGCAGGAAAAGAAAAAGCTTTACAGCTACACAGGCACCTTTATAATTTTCATATCTCAAAATTATGGCATTTCCAATAAAGGCTGCTTTTGAATCGCCATTTAGTTTTACAACTCACTTTCACAGTACTCTCTATCTCCTACAGTTAACTCTTGAAAGAAGCCTTTCAAAGATCAATCCTGTCTGTTAGGATTCTGGATGTTAAAATTGAATTTTTCTTGTCTACTTGTTCTTTTGAAAGGCTTAAAAGTGATTTGTAGCAATCAGCATAAAAGGATTTGATTGACAGAGTTTAACTAAGTCATCTAGAGAAGATTCATCAGGGGAAAATTGCTAAAATTATAAATTAAATGGCAAACAGTTTTTCTCTGTCTGCTCTTAAAACAAAATATGTTCTTCTAGACATTGAAAATCATTCTAAAAGCTTCTACAAGTAGTCAATGAAAAGCTTAGAAATGCACAGCATAATCTTTCAAATAACACTCTGCAATAGTAATCAAATAAAAGGAAAGGATAAAAGGGCAAGCACCACAACAGCTACCAAACAGGGCTGTTGACCTCATTCACACAAACCTCAACAACATAGCTGCCAAACTTCCCTCAAATAAAAACCAGGAGATTTAGTTGGAACGCCATTGTATCTCTTCCTGTGGGAATTATGGCTTTTTCCCCCCTCCCTTTTGCCTGGCTGTTCTATCCTTCCTGGCTTGGCCTCTCTAATTGCCTTCCTCTGCGATTCACCTTCCTCCACCTGCCTACAAGACAGCCCAGCTGAAGGGTCCTTGCCCCGCTACCTGGTCAGTGGTGGAGAGGGAGGAAAGCCTGTGCCATGTCCAGTGCCACTCCGTAAACACCTCCAGCAACAGATGGGCAGTGGGGAGGCAGAAACTGTCCCCGGCTGAATGTCTGCAGCACCAAAGATAGCAAGGAACGCGCCCAAAGACAGGTCTTAAAACTGTCTGACCAGCTCTCAATGGGAGTACCACAGAGTTAAGTGCCATGTTATCCCCACCTGAGAGTTCTATTCTTCTCTTCTGTTTTATTCTTCTGCAACCTGCTCTAGGTGAACCTGCTTTAGCAGGAGGGTTGGACTAGAGGATCTCCCGAGGTCCCTTCCAACCCTCGCCATTCTGTGATTCTGTGATTCTGAATTTTTGGGCTTTAATTCATGAGGGAAAAAAAAGTAAGTTGTTGGTGCTTTTTTTTTTTTTTTTTTTTAAACCTCCAGTTCTGTGAACAGTGTTAGACAGGTAGAAACTAGAATAGGCAAAAGATCTATTTATTTATTTATTTATTTTATTATCCTGGTGGTGCAGGTTATTTTGTATGCTACTGCCACTGCTTGCAAGGCCCTTGTTTTAAGTCCCAGACAATCCTACCAACCCAAGTCAGAAGTATTACCTTCCACCCAACATAGCAACTACTTCAGTTCAAGGGCATTATAAATTCATTTACAGGGTACTAGCAGGAAAAAGCTTTTGTCTGTTTAAAACTACAGCAAAAACATAGAATTAACATTTTTGTGATGATGTTTCAACCTCATATACCCATCTGCTCATTTATGTTTTTAACTCTCCTCCAGATTTTCTGGGCTTTTCGCCATTCTTTTGTGACTGCAGTTGATTGTTATCTGCAAATATAACTAACGGATTAATCCTCTCAGCTTTCAGATCAGTTACGTGATATAAAAGCACTCAAAGTTGCTTACATTTTAGTCTACAAAAACTTACTATGCTTTTGTACTAACAAGCTAGTTTGTATAAATATCAGGGCTTTTTTTTCTTAAATCAGGTTTATATCTGTGAAATTTTTCTGATCTACTACTCAATGCTATTCTAACACGATAATGATTTTATGTAATTAGTTTGCCTGTACCTGGTAATTTACTGTAGCTTACACACTTTTATATTTATTGGAGACATAAAAGAAAAAAAAAAACATATCTGAAATGCCAACACAAATGAAATTTAACACAGAAATTTTTCATTAATGATAAAACATGTAGTTATGAAAGACTGCACACAAGTCATTCACTCACTGAAATACTGCAGAGAGCAAGGGATTTATACAAGCTAACGATACCTACAAAACAATACGCCTCAGCTTAATACATCACGCTACACTGGCACCTTGCAAACTAACTCCACATCTAAGCCATCTCAGTCCTCTGCTCAACTGCTCTTTATAAAACATTACCTTACCTCTTTAGAATATCTAGCTTTGCCAAAAGACAAAAGGACCCTACATGTGTAAACCTACAGTGTTAATCTAGACATTAAACACCTAATCTGACAATCATAAATATTAAGGTCAAGAATTATCAATTACAGACTTTAAACATGATTGCTTACTTAGATATGGTCTTTGCAAATCCAACATACAAACTAGTTGTGTCTCACATCAGTGCAAGATATGATTCAGGTACTCCTTTTTAGGCTGACCAGAACATTTTCTATTAGTTTTGCAGTGACTTTATTTGAATGTTGTGGATACATTTGTTAAACCCTTATAGAAAATACAATGCAGTATTCATTAAGGCCAATGATGAAAGTTTCTTTAGAGAACATAGCATCTGGATCCATTTTATGATCAAAACTTGTTTGCTCAATGTTTTTTTTCATTCTTCAGAGATTCAGATTATCAGAAATCTTTACATCTTTTAATTACACATTCCTGATAATAACATCCGCCTTAATTTCTGCATAGTTGTAATTTAGAATTAAACTTTTTTTTTAAGCTCAGTAAAGATTTTATCAGCTCCTATTGGCAACCGCCATTAGTCCAAACCTACTTGAGTGGTTTTTTTAATTTTTAATAACATGAGCTAATAAGAATTGTCATCTGTAACAAATGCTTATTCTGCTTTCACAATGTTTGTCTAAATTTTATACAAATTATTTAATGAGTGTGTAAACATTTTACTTTTAAACCAGGATTTTTTTTTTTAATACTGTCACAGAACATTGTTAAAATTTTAAACCTTATGAAAACCTAAGAAATTGTTAAAATCACTGCTATTTACCTTGGTCAAATCCTACATTCAGTGAAGTGACACTTACAAGATTTCACATATCTATTTCAGAAACTGTTAATCAGCGATAACACACGCAGTTGCAAAGACCTTGCATGCAAAAAAGTGACTTACCAGCTGGCATGCTGCTGGTCAGGTCTCTGCTAAATCGGGACTGGGGCCTATCGTGCATTTGCAACTGGCTTTAGACCGTTCTGTACTGTAGCTTCTGGCTTAGCTCAAAATGCAAGGGACATGCAATAATCTCCACATACCTTCTCATGCAATCCAGCGCCCGAATAAAGAAGTCTTTGTGAAGCTGATGCTCGTCCCTCAAGATGGAGCACTGCTCCAGCGTCACTGACATGGATGTCCGGTCTTTGGCACTTTTGCAACAGGTGAAACGGACTCCATTCAGCTTACGGCAAATCTGAAACACAGGCAGATGTCAAAGGATTGCCCTTTTCACACCTTGTGTTCTCTACACAGTAGGCAGGCTGTGAGACTCCCACAGTTTTGCTATCACAGACAAAGGATACAGAGAAAACTACAGTATTTCTGAAGAAGAAAACAGCTAATAGGTAGTAACACTAACCTAAATCGTACGGCTGCTGACGCGGGTCTTTGCAGTTAAATCAGTTATTAGCACTGCCTTGGGGATTTTCATATTCTAAAGATTATGCCCATGCTGGCCTGACACAGTGTCAGAAAAAGGTGAAAGTATTGTGCTGAAAAGAACTGTACATTTACCTTTTGTTTATAAATTTGCAACATTAACACTCTACAAAAATAGCACCAAAAGATTATAGCTACTGATCTATAGCCCATTTCCAATTTGTCCAAATGGCACATTTTAAAAGCAGATCTTCAGGGCTTTCATTAGCAGGACAAGCCTACAAATAACATGCCCACTGAGGAAAAAGGAGCCGTTATCGATTTTAAGAGCACACTGCACACAATCTTGTCCTGAAGCCACAATCAAGTCTCTCTCTTGCCTGCCCCTCCAACCAAGTGAAGCAAGAAACTGATGGTGGACCCCCCCAAAAAAATAAATTCTACTATTCTTAGTCCTAAGCATTTTAAGCAAGTCACTAAAATGTCTACACATGCTACAGCTTACCAAACCATTGCATCCAATTTCCTGAACTTGAAAGAAAAAGCATTTGTGTTAGCCTGGACTGTAAAAGGAAAAATTACTTCATTTTTTCCCTCATTTTGTGACAAGCACCCTATGCAATTAAAGCCTAACTGTCTGAACACCTATGTTGAAAAAAAAATGAATAAAAACTTTAGCAAGTCTTTTTTAACTCAGACTTATGAATGCAGAGGACTAACTCCTCATGTGAGTATGGATTCAGACACATCTATCTATCTACTGAATTTAAACATCATCTTTATTTCCAACAGGTAAACTGTTCAATGTGTGACCCAGAACAATTAACTCTTAACACAAGTGACTGCCATGGAGTGTCTATTTTGACAAAATTATAAGGCATAAGGGAACCGTGACATATTGTTAAAGATAATTTCTCACCTTAAGAATCAATTTGACATTGTACTTTAGAATACTTCTAGAAAAAAGAAAAATTTGAAGGAGAGCTGGTGTGTCATGGATCTACCTGATGTAGATCAGGTACCTGCTGTACTTTGTCCTAAGGAAAGGCAACACCCTCTGCCCAGCTTTGCTTGCACTTATCCCTGGACAATCATAGCTATAACAGGATCAGAAAAGGAAATAGCTATGAGGATAGGGCAAGGCAATAAATTACAGCAGTTAAGCCTCATACTAAGGAACTTCTCGGCTTGGCTATCAAGTGTTTACTTGGGATCTTACAGGATGAAACTGGGACATGGTATTCATAATCTCATTTCAGCAAACAAGCACTGTTTTTATCCATTAATTGCATTCTCAGAAATTCTATTAAAATCAATGGCCCAGACAATACTTACAGTCTTTTGCAATATTGTGGTAAGGGCGATCTCAAAAGCTGAATCACAGGAATTAATGAATAGAATCTAAATCTGAACCCAAAGAAGTACAGGCTAGTAAAGGAGAACCTGTGAGTGTTTCTTCCCTCCTATACTTCAAAGTTTTAAAACTTAAATCTGTTTTAAGATTTGGAAAGCTGCATTTGGATTTAAATAAGGTACTATATGGATTTTTTTTTAAAGGAAGTATCAAGCAGGGTAGATAACTCTGTGAAAGAAGCTAACTGCTTAATTGAAGAGATTAATTCTCTTTACACTAGTCTCTTTTGGATTCCATGAGTCACTGCGACTATTCAAAGTGAATGAGTCATAAGAAAAAACCAGGTAATTATTCTGGATGAGTGATGGCCTCTGATGTGGGGAGGGGAGACTAACTCCCAAATCTGGGCTGACAGTGTACATATAAAGTGCAGGTTAGGGAGAGTCAGCTTTGAACTGAGAAGCATTCTAGGCACAACAAGCAAATGACCATAACCACAAGCTTAGTTTGCACTGAAGTACAAGTGTCTCAATCATTTTAAAGTGGATTAAAGAGAAAACAATCTGCTAACTTAAATAAACAGATTAAAAAAATCCTTAGATTCTGATTTAAGGAGAAATGTAGGTTGACTTGATAGGCTGGCCCAGATAAATCGTCACAATGACTCAGTTCACTAAGCAGCAGCAGTTAAATAATTAAAACAGGCAAATGCAACGAGCTGATGCTCTAGAAATCTAATAAGGGATAATACCAAATACATGGTCATATCATTGTATCGGAACACAGAGTTTATGATTAGTGTCCAGCCTGAATTTTACCCTCAATTTTGCTTGCTTCTTCCCCAAATACACTGAAGACATAGGAGGAGGAGAAATAGACTTAACGTTTATGAGAGCTTTAGAAAGTCTCCCTTACGAACGCAGATTTAAATGATTAGGATTGTGATTAAGTTTAAAGAGGGGATGATAAAAGCATATAAACCATGAAGACTAAAACGAGGATAAATCAATACCCTGATTATTTCTCCTGATATAAGACAGAAGATGAAGGGTGCAGCTTAGGAAATAAAAAGATATAATGTTTAAATCTGTCCCATTGTAGTTAGAATAAGAAATTTTTGTGATACCAATTTGCAAAAATTGACTTTTAAAATGCAGATGTATTGTCGTAGTCCTGTTACAACAGGGATTACATGCAGGTTCAGGTACATATGCATATCCATGTAGAATCCCAGACATCTACTGCAATAACAAAGTGATATCCTTATAGCAGGGAATCATGCCTTTTCAGAAAATAAATGTAACATAGCAGAACAGTGTGTAGATTCAATGAGAAATTCTCATTTCAGAAGGTTACAGTAAGGTAAAGAGAAACAGAATACAGTGAAGGAAAAGCCTGAAACAGTTTGTATTTCCAAAGAACGCTTTTTACCCATGAAATTATTTTCAGGGAATCCTGAATAGATAGTAGAAGACAACTTCTGCTATCCAAACATTAAGTAAATTCTGTCATATTCTTTGTAGCTCATTTTACACTATCTTCTGCTGATTTATCTTTTACTTCTTTAAAAAGCAATGTTTCATAGTAATTGCAGAACTGGCACTGCAAGAAAGGCTTGTATTTTTATTCGCAATGGATTTATACTGCAATAGCATGTGATAACATTTGTCATCCACATGGCAAAATGTTATTAGCAATATAAAAAATTACAGCAGTGTTATTAATACAAAGACATAGTTAATATCGTCTTGTTCCTGGTGTTAATGAAAGCTCATGGAAAATTTTATTAATATTTTGTTTCAAATATTTATTTGCCTTGAAATATATGCACTCGAAAGTTCCCCAAAACACAAGGTCTTGCTTCAGTTCCAGTAGATACCAAAGACTCAAATCTCTGCTTGTATAAATGGGCAGACACAGCAAGGGTACTTTTTGAAATCTAAGACAATTATCTGGTTGAATTTCACATTCCTGAAAAGCTTGAGATTTTTGTAAACATCTAAGGGTTGTTTTGTCGTAGTTTGGTTGTTTGGGTTTTTTTAACATGTATGTGCAAAACCCACAGAATTGGGAAACAAAAATGAATTATGTGAATAAAGCAAAGTAAGTATTATTCATTGTTTGATAAACATTTTGCTTTGTGTTTCTCCTGTGTGTGAACATCTGCCCTTTGCATATCTAGCTTATTTTGTGTTGCTATCAGTCCCCTTGGAGTGGCTGTCATGGTGACACTGGCTAAAAAAACCCATAAAATGTGATTGACTAGAAGTTGCACTGATACAGTTAAACACTTATTTATAAAACATAAGCACCTTAATTACAGAAAATCAAAGCTGAGTGCAGCAATATTAAACAAAAGTGAGAGCAAGTAATCATGTCCTGCATTGCACCTCAAGGCTTATGGACACTAAACAATAAAAGGAAGATATTTTGAATAACCAAATTTTATATTATCAAAGAATGGATATGATTTAGAAAAAAAAAAAAGTTAGCTGCTGTAGCTGAATACTGTATTGTCTCTCTCATATGAGATGATACATTTACAGCTATGCTGTAAATTGATTCTGCCCATACTGGGGATGAAGCGATTCCTCTGCCTAAAACCAGACTCAGTTAGTTAAAGAAAAAACACACACAAACAAAAAGCAAGCCTCTTTTACCCTGTTACACAACTCACTGAGATAAATGAAAAATCCTGCACCTGGGACAAAACAACCCCCAGCAGCAGCACAGGCCACGGACTGCCTGGTGAAGAGAAGCTCCGCAGAAAAGGGCCTTGGAGGATGTAGGGGACAACAAAGTGACCAAGATGATCCCTCCCTTTGAATTGTAGCCAGTTCTACCAGTTAAGAAAGTGAGGGAAAGAAATTATCTGTAATTTAAGTGTAGGAAGAAGAGAGTGGGATGAGAGATCATCAGAATGGAAATGTTAGGGCACCATTTCAGCATATCTACCTACTTTAATCACTGAGTTTTCCAATCATACCCTTAAAATCGATTGCACTTACAACATCAGCAGGCATGTGAAAATTAGTTCATGGTGTGAACGTATTTAAAACAAGATTGCTTACCGTTGCAGCCAGCCACATGATTTCTACGTTCTTTCTCTTTTTGGCCTGGATATTTTGATGAAGATTTTCTAGCAATCCCTTTAAATCATTTTGTTCTTGAAAATGTGGTAGACCTGGAATAAAAGGATGATAAGATTGCTGACTAACAAATGCCCACATTTAACAACAGGTCTATTATTTACAGCCTTATTTGGAAACACAGGATGGAAAGCACCATCTAAATATTTAGGGAATAAACGAACCTTATTTCTTTCTAAGTATTGTGTTGACCTCCCTAAGAACTTCACCATGGAAAATTAAAATGTCTTCAATTTTTATCTTATAAATGGATGGTGAATACATTCAAATCTCTGCTGTAGTTCTGTTCATCAACTATTACAGACATTCAATGGAAATGAGTAGATAAATAACTGAACGTATTAAAAACTGCTTTGATGGGATTTTTTTTAATTTTTAAGTCAAAATATTTTGCTTATGTTTTCAAAATGGAACATCTCATTTTTTTTGTTTTAAAATTATGCTTTAGTTCCTAAATATAACAGGAGGGTTAAACAGCGCTAAATACTCCCCCAAAAAAATCTAACAAAGGATATTTCTCAGTCTGAAATTAAATAGGACTTTAATTTTGAAATACAAAATACTTTCAGGTTTACTTAAATTCAAAAATTTTACCTGCTTGTCCTGGGTATGGCACCTGAGCTAAAGTTTTATTAGTCATAGATGTCTAGAGGGAATTCAAGAGTAGGCAATTTAATTTGTTCTTCTGTTTTGTGTGTGCATATAGGAGGGGTTTGTTCTAATGTTATCTTTATCTTCATTAGTTTTGAAAATCAGTAGAAACAGCTGAAAACTGTTTTTCAAAATTATTTCTTCTTGTGGTAGTGAAGTAAAAAGAAATTTAATAATCATTATCACCAAAGAAAGGCTCAGAACCATTTGAAAGGAAATTAGACCAAATTAATAAATGGATAAATTTTTTCAACAAGAAGTAAGATGTTCCATCCAGTGGGAAAAAGAAAAAAAACCAAACCAAGCCCCAAATGTAAGATTTATATTCAATTCAAAGAGCAAAAACGAGGCAACCAGTAATGCAGGTCAAAATCCACTCTCCTAACCTGATCACAGCTGGAATGATCCCTCTTATCAACAGGCTTTTACCTTTTATCTCTAATGAATTCTCTAGCTTCCCTTATCCATGATTCATAGGAAGAGGTAATTTAAATATACTCAGAAAGAACTATTCTAAAAATGTCTAAGTTGCCTTACTCATACTGTGCTGCCAAAAAGAAAAACAAAATGCAGAAAAAGTACATTGAAAGTAGTTTTGTAATAATCTTAATGAGGATTTTTTAATCTGTGTATTACAATTCCTGATCATACAATCAGATAATGCAGAGCATATAAAAATACATCACAACCCGCTAGACTATTATACTTATCCTCTATCTGTTTCTTTAAAACACATAGGCATACAGTGAGTACTCTAAAAAGATGCTGCCAGATTATGAGAATGTATCACTACGTAAACATTTTATTGCTTCAAAGCATTTTTCCTTTGGTTCAGAGCAGAAGAGATGGCTTCATCATAGGTAAAGCAAGATTCTCCTAATTTATAATATTGCCAAATGAGCTGCATCTTGACTGGATGTGATCGATTGCTTAAATTCCTTGTGTCACAAAGCAGTATTAAACCGTCAAATCATTCTCATAGATTATTAAGGGGGAGAAGCCGGGAAGTACCAGACAGACTCACAGACTTTATGTTGAAAATGCAGATACTGCTATATGCATTATGATGCTATGGAAGAAAATCTTGACTTGCTTGCGGGGTTTCTAAACCTTGCGTGCATCCCTCTTCTCACATGGGACAATACTTTGCAACACTGATGTTGCTGTGGGTCTTAGGTAGGAAGCCAGCAACATCGAATATCACTTGCGATGTAGGTTTCTCCGATTTTATGCTTTCAGCTGTTTCAATTGAGCCATTCTTTTTGTTTAATTACGTACTACAAAAGAACAATCATACATTTTTGTACCCTTACTATCATTAGCTATTCTACAAAAGCAGTACTATTGTGGTGCCTAAACCAGAACTACATCTGGTTGGCATTTCTGGGAGCATGTTGTTATTTATTGTTTTCAGAGTTTCCTATTATAGAATTCAAAAGATTAAGAAACAGGAGAGTGACAGAGCAGATATTCATCTAAAAGAAGACAGAAAGTCAGTGTTTGGCATATGCAGTTACCTGCAGCTGATGACTCTTAATAACTGGGCACAGAGAGAAAGCTAGAATATTATTGACAATGGGAATTACAGAGATGAGAGAAAAACTAAGAGCAAAGGTGGCAATACATTTATGGGAGTGGAAAATTGAATTCTTTGAAATGGAATATACAAATAAAGCAGCAGGCAGGTGAGGATCCCCAAGGATGGTGGATGCAACAGCCTGGCCAACAAGGCTCTGAGTCCTCAAATTCTGTCTGGCTTTATGAGCACTATTTGTAACTAACAGCTTTGTGAACTGGGTCCTGCATTTATTTTGTGGCATAGATTTGGCACTACAGGAAACTATCTGGAAAGGCATGACAAAACCACCAAGGAGCCATCAATACTGAATGGCTCTCACTTGGCTACACCACCAGGGCTCCTGCCAGCCTGGATGGAGGTTTATCTTCCTAAGTACTTGACCACAGAAGTGGGGGAAAACAGGGGGGGAATTGAAGTTCTCCCCCAGCTGAACAACTCAGAAAGCGTCACTTTTTTTCCAGGGAGCTGGTTTAAAAGACACATTCCTCAAAGCCAAAAGAGTGATTCCGTATAATGGCAGGGAGCTACTGGGAAGGGCAATGGAACCAGAAGGTGCTTTGTGTTCTGTAAAAAATTGGGATAAAGAACAGCCGCAGATCTTAGAGGTAGAGAAAAGGCAAGAAGGTAATAATAACCAGAAGAGACATGATGAATTAGACAAGTGTAGGTCTCAAAAGCCTGCACAGCCTGGAAGAAGTCCAGGAAGACTGTGTGGCTCACTAATAATCGTTCTGCAGGAAAACAGTGCAAGGTTAGTTTCTATTAATGAAAAGCAGCCAATACTATCTGCATGCAAATTTTTGCTTTTATATAATCAGATCCATTTATGAGCTAGCAGATCTACCTTAGACCTAACCCCAGATGAGGTTAGTTTTTCAGGATGCTTTCTTGGCAGGATTCCCTTAAATTAATTACTAACTTCTTGTATGAGTTTCTCTGGAGAAATCCTAGAAATACCAGAGATGTGGGTGGATGGATGGGCATCCTGCCCACCGTTTAGGAACAGAGCTTTCACTTCTGTCAAAGTTATTAACAAATGAAAATCATCGTGATACAAAAGATAAACATGTACACACACAGAGTGACACATTAGATATAACTTCAAGTACATACATGTAATGGATAATTTGCAAAATTAATCAACACAAGGTGTTCTGGAAGAGAACAGAAGCTTTGCACAGGATTTTAACCAGCAGTATTCACCATGAGGAGTTACACACGTGTCCTGTAGGTCGATGGATCTTTAGATTCAGAAGATTCACATACCCTCCTTTACCCAAAGGGAAGGAACAGAGACCTAAATCCAAGCTATTTAAAATCAGGCTGTAAAATCTGCAACATTTGGGAATATACTTTAGGCATTAAGACTACTTTAACAGGATTAGATTGATACAAATGGTCTTTTCAGTGTTTGCTTTCAACAATCACAGTAACAGAATCGTAATGTTTAACATAGCAAATGTCTATGAAATTGGAATATAGGGCCAATTCTAATGGAATCATGCTATTAATATCAGTGAAATTATGATGCAGCTCATTGCTTGGATTTGCATCTGCAGATTTCTCAGTGGTTTGCCACACCTTAATACATATTCAAAATAAGAATGGAGGGAGTGACTGAAACTGATGAAAATTCCCACTGAGAATTTCTGTACAAATATAGTAGGTACAGACTGTCCTCTGCTTGAAATATTAAAAAGCATATTGTATTAATAATTTAAGAGAGCTGTTTAGTTGATCGCTACTCTGTTTCACTCTCCCTGTAGTTTCTGCTATGGCCTTGGGCCTGCAATCGCTTCTGACTTCAACAGGGCTGTGTATAGGCACAAAGTGTTTAACTTTATGGAACAAGGACTGAGGCCTAAATCTAAAAGCTGCACATTAATATTGTACTAATATTACTATCTTATAATCGTTCACCGATCAAATCTTTTCAAAGCTATTTGCATATTGTATTATTTTGTACTCACAATCAGGAGGCATTTTTTCTGTAAACAGCTTGTAATATTCTTTTAGAAGTTCTAAGTTTTCCTGGTTAATATTTTCCTGCAAAGTGGTATCTCCAAACCTATAAAAAAGCACAGTAAAATGATGAAAAAACCCAAACAAACCCAAAAAACAGACAAAAACCAAAGCCAAAAAACAAAACCCAAAAAACCCCAAACCAAAGCAAAGCTAAATCAGCCTTCAGAATGATTTCTTTGCATAAAGAAATAACTTTGACTTTTTTTGCCCCCCTAGTGTTGAATGTACTAGATTTTGTCAAATGTACAGTTGCTAACCTCTCGTGCTTTGGAACTAATATGTGGGAACAAGGTCATCACTCATGGACAATTCTTTCAAAAAACATATGGACAAAGTAACCCATTTACAGACAGACATTCACTAAATCACATATTCTTTTCCCCTTCATTTATCCTGAATAAATGCAAGGGCTCTCTCTGCGAATTTCAAATGTCACCAAAAGCAGAGAACACCAACTCCTATATCTCTTACTGCTGCTGTTGCTTAGGTATATTAATTTCTACCAGAGCTGGACAATATTGAAGACACACAAGATGGAAGAGATGCAAGTGTCAGGTGGCAAACCTTATGAAGAACTAATTTCTGCTCTGATCTGAGAATATTTGCTATAAATAGTCAAACTGATTACTCCTCTGGGCCCTTTCTGCCCTACACTGCTCCTGAGCTTGTAGTTACCTTGGTTTCTGAACTGGTTTCTGGTATCTGAAACTAATGAGAGAACCATTTCCCTGCTGTTGAGCAGAGATTTCACCATTAAGCTTCGCAGGCTTGCAACCCACAGGCCAGCTGACTTCAGCAGTCTGCATTTAAGTTTGCTGCAGCACACAGACTGCAGTGGTTGCTCTACAGTGCTGCAGCTGGCTCAGGAGTACGTTTCGGGGTTTCTTGCAGCAGTCATGTCTGCTGGGAGCACATCACCCAAATCCTCATTATCCTGCACCTCACAGCACACCCAGACAACATCAAGATTTCATTACACTTATCCGTGAGTTGACTATAACTATATTGGCAAATATCTTTCTCTCTGAGACCAAAATTTCTACAACAGCCAAGTTTCCCATAGACTAAGAAACCCCAACAAAACCCCTCTCCTGGTACCTCTACTATGAGAGATATGAATGAATGTAAAGCCAGGAACATCCCTTAGGCAGTTAGGGCCAAGGTTTTGCAACTCATCTTTAGAATAGCCTTGAAACGAAGAAAAAGATGACAGAAAAGGAAATGGAGAAATACAGAAAGAGAGGCATGGACAGGTTAAGTGAGAAATTCAGGCAGACAAAAGGGGACACAAATCGGAAGACACTAAATGTACTGCCACATCATGCAGAAGGGAATCAAATATTTAAAAGGGCCAAAGAGGGAAAAGGCTGCTACTTCCTCAGTAGCCACTGCTGCATGATCACATGAGAGTATTTCTTTTAAATCAGATATATTCTCAGCTGTGCTTTACTGAAACAAGAGATGTTTGCGTCTAACAAAGTAACACTGTCTAGAAATTTATCACAAAACCTTATGTCTATTCTCATATTCACTTTCCCACAAAAAATGTGCATGTGCAGTGTTTCCAATCTCAAAGACAGCTGTGCAGCTTTAGGAGTTAAGCAATATTTTGAATTAAGTCTAATGCTTACACCTGTAAGTGCACGTGGACAAGCTGTTTCTGCATAGACTAACCCGATTTTATTTGCTTGACAGATATAGATATTAATACATAGCTTTATTTATAGATATACATATATTATTTTTTCATTCATGGCTTTCTTTGTGCACAATGTAAAATCACCACTGTGAACAATGCTACCATTCTTCCTTCCACTCCACCTGCAAGCCAGACACCTTTTCACACCAACTCCTCTACAAGTCCCCATATATCCAGGCTTTTTCTAAATCTTGTCAAATCATTCTTCAGGGCATTTGGAACATATAGTCCTTCCCGCTTTCCCATCCATGCAACCTCTCACAAATGAGGTTTCTTGGTTACTACATACTCCTTTTCTCTGATTTTGGAAGAACGTGACCTGTCCTAGTCACAATTGTCATGACTGATTTTCTTGGTTTTGTATGCTGTCACTTTGGCCATGTCACTCCTCTCATAGCATCACTTTTTGCTTTTTTATGGCATCAAGAATAAGCCATTTTCATTTTCAAGAATGTTTTGAGTTCTCTAACCAACTATTCAACTCTCTCACTAGTAAAATGCCAGTTTCTACTGTCTTCTGATTCAGCCTACATCTCCTATTTCAATTTTCTACCTTAATTTTCTCACACGTCACCACCCACAACTCGAAGGAGTCTCCCATAAACATCCACAAAGCTACCTGATGGCATTCCTTAGAAGTCTTCTTTAAAAGGCTCCTTTTACTCTGCTGGCTACAAGGAACAGGATGTGAAATTCCTGTTGCGCTTAACTTCTTGCCCATTGTCCGGGTTAATGGTTTTTCACCGTCTCCCTCTATTTCCCCAGCTACACCTTTGCTTTTGAGTTTGTAGTGAACGCAATCTAAAGATATATATTAGATCTCTTGGTTGTTCTGTTAATACAACCAGTAAAAAAAAAAGAAAAAAGTAGCTGTCTCATTGTTGATGTCTACCTTACAGTTCTAGCATTGCACAAACTTGGTAATTTAACACGACCAACAGATACGCTTCTCTTGGAAGGGAGAATTAATAGGTTGGTGAAACTTTGACTATTAGTTAGTTTCCAGCAATCTTTTCAGGAGTAGTGTTAACACATCGGAACTTTAACATTAGCATTCATGTTTCTACAAGCATGTTACTAATGCATTCCCTATTATTAACTACCACTCCTCAATCCTAGAAAAAAAGCCCTGAAAAGCTGAGAAAAATGATCTCTTTCTAGCTTATGACTTGTCCAGCATCTTCAACCCCACCTTTAAGATAATAATAATTTCAAATTTTCAAACTCATGTTTGAGAAGGCCAAAGTACTGTATACAGACAAACTTCTGTATCTGTGAAATAGAAATCCATTTTACATCTGTATCCAAAGGAAACTTGGTGTTCGCTGTGTTAAATAAAGTCCCGCATATGGTCATATCTTCACCTGGACTTTTTCATTATTTTGCATTGCTTTATAGCTTGTGCTTATTTCCTTTAATATATTTTAAAATACACACTGAGTTAATGTGAGATGGTCCAAGAGCAAATAACAAAAAAGACTTATTTTTAATCCTGACAGGTATCATGTACTAGCACCGCATATTTGGACAGAAAATTAAACACGATTTTTTCTTACCTCTCTGCAAGTGTTTGCTGTTCATTGATTCCAACATTAAAGAGTACTGGATACATGCGAAGTAGCTTTCCTTCTTTAATCTCTTGTGGCAGCAACTCAAACATCTTTGCTGGAAGCTGGACCTCTATAACATAATGTTCACTAGGAAAAATAAAAAGAAGAATAAGGATGGGAATATTGATTGGTTTGCTTGAAATGATAACCTTCTAAATTATACAGAACATGTAGACTTATAGATCAGTTCCCCCCTTTTCCCCTTAATTGTATTAAACCATAAAATGTGATGATTCAGCTCACTTGTTTTAAGAGCATAACCAAGCTATAAGGAAAAAAAGGTAGGTATATATAATTAGACACTCTTGACACTGACTTCTTTACTGAAGTGAAAATAGGACTAAAGATGAGAGCAGTAAAAAAAGTCTTCTGCTACCCCAGTATCAATGAGAACACCTCAACTCTTAAAATGCATCTCGCTGAGTTACAAGAACAACTTCCTTTCAGAAGTTACAACTTCTACTCTAAATCAACATGAGCAAAAACCTTTCACAAAAACCCAAAGCAAAATTCCCATTTTCTTCAGTGGCTGGATTTTCTCCCTGGGGATAGAAAGCATCACCAATAACAAAACTGACTCTGTGAAGATAATAATTGAAGGCTCATTACACAAACACAAATCCTATTTTAGGAGAAGGGATATGATATATAGCAGTTCTGGGTTTATGTTTGTGTTTGGTCTCACTTTATGAAAAACACGTTACTTTGGCTGCCAGTCCAAATTCTGGTCATGTAGAACCCTCAAGTTGAATTTCACCTGTCTTTGAGGATTGATGCCTGACCTCACAACAGAAACAATGGCATGCTGTTAGCTTTGTTTTTAATTAGCTTTCTTTCTGTTATTAGAGCAATCAGTCTAAAAAAAAAAAAAAAAGAACAGACTAGAAGCAAATCCATTTGTCTCCAGGATTTGGCATTTTAATCATTCAAAGAGGGCCAACTGATAACAAAGACTGAAATTTTCTGTCCTGCAGAGCACATTTGGTACGCCACCAAGAAGGAAGAGTATTACAGCAACAGCAGGGAAGAAGGACCTATATCCTACCTACAGCAACCAGGCCTAGCAAGTCACACAATTTTTGCATTCAAGCTTGAGATGGAAAACTGTTTGCACCTATTAAAAAAATCTACCATGAAGTCCCATCAACCCTTATTTTAATTAATCATGTGCTTGCTAAAGAATTTAAATACAATTTGGATTATCAAGGTGTAGAATTTGGGGGAGAAAAGGCAGAAAACTGTGAAGAAAAAGAGCAGTTTCAGCAGTGGCTCTGAAAACCTTGGCAAGCTGGGGGGATGAGTGGCGCTATCTCGGAGTAGGTGGCTGGATAAACCGCTTCAGCTTAGAAGACCTAGTGGTCATGCTTGAACCTCTATCCTGCCCATATATTTGAGAACAAAATAAAATCGACCCAGTACAGGCTTGTGATTGAAACGTAATTACATTCAGCTAGGGCAACAGCATATGCTTTGGTACGGGCTAGGAAAAGTGTTTAATCTTTGAGCAAATGCCAGATGCTCCTTGCTGAGGGGGGTTATCAGTTTTGAATGGAGGATACATGGGGGGGGGGGGTGAGGGGAAGGAAATACTTCTACTCCCCCGATAAGTTTCTTTGGTTTGTGTTTTGTTTAATTAATTGTGTGGAAATAGAGGGTTAGCAAGGATGACAGTGAAGAACTCCATACAAATGACCTTTGCATAGCAGCATTCATCATTCTTAGCCTGCATGTGAGCACTCCTAGCTGCTGTCAAGTGCTACCAGAACATTCTTCTGTGATGGAGTGCTTTCATGAGGTTGAGAAGAAATGTCGGTTTAGTCTAATTCAAAGAGCATACGCTACTAAACCAAAATGCCACCAAATCACTGCACTGCTACATTTTACACCCCCAAAATCACTACAAATCCTTCACTGTGTGAAAGAACACTGAGAAATACTGACCTTTAGGCATGAAAAGTTAACATCAGTACCATTTGAGAGATTCCCCTTGTCCATTTTCTTTTTCTTTTTGAAAACATTTTTTGAAGTCTCAAAGACAATCCTTGGTAAATGTTAAAAATCTGTAACAAACTGCACAATGAAAACAAACCACTTCTGATCAATAAAAAGAATTGATAGAATCATAGAATCATTTGGTTGGAAAAGACCTTTAAGATCATCCAGTCCAACCATACCTGTCCACTACTAAACCATGTCCCTAAGCACCTCATCTACCCATCTTTTAAATACCCCCAGGGATGGGGACTCGCCCATTCCAGTGCCTGATAGCCCCTTCAGTGAAGAAACTTTTCCTAATGTTCAACCTAAACCTGCCCTGGCATGACTTGAGGCCATTTCCCCTCGTCCTATCACTTGTTATTTGGGAGAAGAGACCGATCCCCACCTCGCTTCACCCTCCTGTCAGGCAGTTGTAGAAGGCAACAAGGTCTCCCCTCAGCCTCCTCTTCTCCAGGCTGAACACCCCCAGCTCCCTCAGCTGCTCCCCATCAGCCTTGTGCTCCAGACCCTTCATCAGCTTCCTTGCTCTCTTCTGGACATGTTCCAGCAAGGCAACATCCTTCCAGTAGTGAAGGGCCCAAAACTGAACACAGGATTCGAGCTGCGGCCTCACCAGTGCCAAGTACTGGGGGAGGATGACTTCCCTGGTCCTGCTGGTCACACTATTCCTGATACAAGCCAGGATGCCATTGGCCCTCTTGGCCACCTGGGCACACTGCTGGCTCATATTCAGTCGGTTATTGACCAGCACCCCCAGATCCCTCTCTGCCAGGCAGCTTTCCAGCCACTTATCCCTAAGCCTGTAGCGTTGCATGGGGTTGTTGTGACCCAAGTGCGGGACCCAGCACTTGGCCTTATTGAATCTCATACAGTTGGCCTCCACCCATCGATCCATCATCCACTAAGTGGGTCACTTGGCCACAGAAGGAGATCAGGTTAGTCAAGCAGGATCTGGCTTTCATAAACCCATGTTGACTGGGCCTGATCTTCTGGTTATCCTAGACGTGCTGTGTGATGGCACTCAAGA